AGGGGAGTGTGTGAGAAAAGAAATTAAGGAGAAAAACAGAAAGGCAAGACATTTATGGGACAGAGAAATGGATTGATGTCTGTTCACAATAGGTGTATAGTATCCTCAGCTGTACTGGTGTGAGGTGTATTCATCTTGGGTAAATTCACTTTTCAAGCCTAGTTATATATAGTGATAGAATGTATAAAATAAAATAAATGGGGAAGTTCTAATTCAATTATCTTGGAGCCAAACAATGTATATAAATGGTGGATTTTTTCCCCTATATGTAATGAACAGAGTAAAGATTAATTTTAGAATGTATTTTTGCTTGTTGAGAATATTTATATAAAAAATTATAATGCACATTCAGAAATGTCCAAAACAAATGGGCCACATTGTATCATAAACCAAACAGACATGTATTCACCATGCAGGTCAAGACATGGAATACTATGGACAGCTCTGGGCCACCTCTATGCCACTATCCTAATTAACACACATTTCACCATATCTCCTGCAGTAAGTTATATCCACAATTTATGATGATAATTTCCATGATTTCCTTTATACTTCCCCAACTAGAGACATAACCCTTAACTCCTTGACTCAGTTCAGCTTGCTTTGAATTTTATATAAATGGAATTCTATAATAGATATTCTTGTTCATGGATTTTTGTTTAGCATTATGATTCTGAAATTTAACCATATTATTACATATACATTGATCTCATTCCTTCTCATTTCTCTAAATTTTTCTATTGTATGAGTTTACTTTTATTATTCATCAATTCTCAGTTGGTAGTATTTGGGATATGTTTTTTTCAAACTGTCTTAAATAACGCTACTATGAGCATTCTTTCTGACGTCAGTTGTAATAAGTTTAGATAATGCTTATTTCAAATATGCTTTTGTAAAACTCATCAACATACACACAATGAACAAACATTAAAGACACATAAGTTAATAACATACAAAACTTTATAAACTGATATTCCTCTGAAATGTGCCAGCTGGTCTGCTAAGAATTCTGTATACCTGAGGGGTCTGCACTTTTGTTTTTGTGTTTTTAGTTTAGCTTTCATTTAGTTTTGTGCACATGTGCTCACCAAAAGAAAGAGACAGAAAAAAATGATAAATCATCCCCCAAAATGGATGGCCACACTTCCATCCTTTCTTCATTCACCTCTTAGGATTTGGGACACACACATAGATGTCTGGCATGATTTTTCAAACCACCAGGTCTGGGATTTGAACCACAGGGTCAGCCACATGGAATCCAGCTGATTTAATCTCCATGCCAACTGCTGTCTCAGGGTCTCCAGTTTTGATCATCCACCTCAACCGCCACAGTACTGTGACAGAGACCTGTCTCAGCTCATTTTTTCCCAGAATCAGGACACAAGAGAGGCCAGAAGAAAAAGCAATTGCAGTAACCTGACAAAGCATGAGAATCAGATTGTCATTCACCAAATCAGAGTTTGAAACTTGTATGAAATAAAACAAATTGAGAATAACACAGAGCAGGAGGAAGGTGATCACGGACTTCAGGGCTACTATGTGGGCCTTGGGGCTGGCATCTCTGGGTCCTTGGGCATCACGTTGCATCATCTTGAGATGTTTGTAAAGTGAGAAAGATTGGGAGGAGAAAGGCTGTCAGCAACACAGCAAAGAGTATGAAAGTGAACATAGTATTGATGAGTAAAAAAAGATAAAACTGCAAAATCACTCAAACTGGAACTACAAGTCATGTTTCCTTTACGTCCATCAATCCAGACATTAATACACATGGCCATCAGTGTAATATTGAAAAACAAGAGGACCAATGTCACCAGAAGTATCACCAAGACCACTTTTTTATCTCTCCACTTTGGGTAGAGAAAAGCATAGTTAGAAAGTTGACTATCTTGAGAAAGTAAAAGACACTGAGACAGGTAGCAAGACAGATGCTAAAGTGATTGGTCGCAACCCAGGTGGCATTCAGCATTCTGAACATTTTCCCACTTATGAATAAAACTGAACTGGATATAGAAAGACACCAGTTTGTGAATACTGACCAGAGAAGACCAGTCCTAGGGATTGCCAAAGCAGTGAGCATTTGATCAGCTGAGAAGATCTTCCTTCTCTTTGCCCAGTCAATTCTGTTCATCAGTGCGATGAATCTGTTCCCTACATTTCCAGTCATGAGTTCCACACTTACAATGGATGAAAAGGCACCCTCTATGACATTACCCATTGATTGGTAAGAGAATTCCCCAATGTAAAATATATCTGTTGAAGATTTCTTAATACATTCACCTAAAATGCTCTGCACATCCAAGTCCTCAAAATTCGGTAATGTACATTTATAAAAAGCTGTGTACACAGTAAGAACCTAGCAACCATCAAGATTCGCTAATGATGGAGTTCACAGCTTTCTTCATGAAACTCTTTATATTTCCTCCAAAAACCCAGTTAAACCTCATCTAGATACTGTGCACCTTAAAGACAGTAGAAGGGAGTCCTTTTGTAGTTGGTGATGAAGTACATGTTGGATTCACATTTACTAACATACGAAAAGATGTATTATTTAGTTTTTGGTTTTGAAGAGGTTTTCACTATAGGGTGTGTGCTCTTGCAAGAAAGATAGAGAGGGACAGAGATACAGAAAACAAGAAATTATCTCCCAGGGGGATGGCCATCCGGCAATCCCTTCTGTTCCATTCTCCTCTCATGATCTTGGACACGCAAGCACATACCCCCAGTGTGAGTTTAAGGCACCGGGTCTGGGACTTGAACAGCAGTTGACTACATGGGAGTCCAGTAGCATAGCTATTGCACTGCCTTCTGGTCCCAAAATATATTTTTTGATGCTTTGTTCTTCTCGCCATATCTGCATATTTGACCTTGGTAACTTGAGTTCCCAGTAAATACCATTAGAAGATTCTAACACATGCACCAGGCAGCAACTATCTAAATTAGTATGTGGAAAGTACTGAGTACTGATGATTTTTAACTACATCAATAATACTAATGGGGGACTAAAGATATGATGGTGAAAGGCAATGAAGCCTCAGGTGAAATAAGTTTGGTTTGATTTGGTTTTGGTTTTAGTTTTTGTTTTAAGATCTACAGATACATACATAAACATGGTTAATGATGGTGTAGTGCATATTTCAAAATTTAAGACAGTTTATTTCAAACATTCTCACAACAATAAATGAGAAGTTATTGAGGCAATAAATATAGTAATTATATGATCTATTTTTTCCTTATTTTATTCATACATTATATCATCACTGTACATCATACCATATACAACTATAATTTGTTGAATTATAGTGAGAAGAAAGAAAGAAGAGAAAGGGAAAGGAAGGGTGGAAAGAGAGAAAGAGGAAAAAAGGATGAACACATTTGACTTTTAATCCTATAAAGGATTAGAATTTTCTAATAATTTCATTGGAGGTTATAATTCATTTCATTTTGTTTTACAATTGACATTTTTGTATTGAACATTTTAAACATAGGGAATATTTGAGTCATTTTATCTAAATTTTAAGAAAATTTTAAAGATGGTTGATGAAAGACATGATTGGCAATACCAGAGCTCAGATGTGGTGTAGGGGAAAACTGACATAACTGCTATTTGATGTAAGATCCCAATTTCAAAAAGGGTCTTCCAAAATTCAAAAATTGTAAGAAATTAATTTACTTACTGAATATGGAAACTTACCACATCATTGAGAATAGGTCATGATCATGTTAGTTTTTTTTTTAATTCATCTCTATGTACAAATGATCTTTTCCTAAGCTATTTATATATTTGCATTATACTTAATATTCCTAGGGAGTCTATGATACTGTATTCAAAATGTACTCTAAATATGTTTGCCACTCTTTTTTTTTTTCTTTTTCTTTTTGGAGAGGTTTTTGCTATAGGGTGTGTGTGTGCTTGCCAGACAGACAGAGAGAGACAGAGAGATAGAAAGCGAGAAATCACTCCCCAGGGGGGATGGCCACGCTGCAATCCCTTCTCTTCCATTCTCCTCTCAGGATCTTGGGCATGCACGCACACACGCCTGGCATGAGTTTAAGCCACCAGGTCCTGGACTGGAACTGCAGTCGACTAGGGGGGAGTTCAGCAACATAGCCATTACGCTAATTGCTGGTCCCATGCTTGCCACGCTTTAATTTTGTTCTTTTTCTAATAGTAATTCTATTTACTTTCTATTAAACAGGAGATAAAAATTTATGATTGGAAAAAAAATCTATCCCAAAGACATCATCATTATTGATTTAGAATTGAATGTTCCTACCATTCATGTGATTGGAGCTTCCAACAATGAAATCTAAACACACTGTGGTACATTTATAGGATAGCAATCATAATGGAAAACAGCAATGATTTCCTGAAATAAACTGTCAGCTTTTAGTAATGTATAAATACAAATCTTAAATACCTTGATTGGAAAAAGATAAAATTACATGTATGTGAAAAACACATGGCTTCATAATTCTAAGACCTTTATTACCATATTTTATGTAATTATAAGTGGTTTGTGTGAAAAAATTGATTAAGATTATGTCATGGTGAATATGTCCTATATTTTTTATACACACAAACACATGTGGATACACACAAACCTATATACATTTTTAAAAGAAATTTAGGTAAAAGGCTTTTCTAGATACACTGCTCAAAATTACTCAAATACATACACTATGGAAAAACTAGCAGGAAGCAGAAAATATTAAACTCCATGAGTTTTTGGGGTTATTTTTCCTGCAAGACACATGATGTCCCCATTTTTTTTAAAAGGTCTTTGGTATATAGGATGTATGCACTCACCAGAGAGAGACAGAGAACCAGTGAGAGGGAAAGATGGATATCACCCTCAGGGAATATGGCCACATTGCAATCCTTTTTCCTCCATTCTTCTCCTGGGATTTTGGACACACACACGCATGTACAGCATGAGTTTCAAGCTGCCAGGTCCAGGACTCAAACCACATAGGGCCATGTGGCTGTCTCCATTATTAATCTAAGCCATTGAAAGTTTCTGACCTTTCAGCCAGCACTTCAACTGCCACAAAACTGAAAGAAAGGATTGTTTCAGTTTCCTGTTTCCCCAAATCAGGAAAAATGAGTGGCTAGAAGGATAGATGATTCCAATGGCCTGGCAAAGCACAAGGACTGTTTTGTGTGACTGTCTGTCAGAATTCCAAAATGATATGACTAGAGACAAAAAGTAAATGACAATTAGCAAGAGGAAGGAGATCACAGTTTGCAAAGCTTTTACGTGAACTTTGGTGCTGGTATCTTGAGATCCTTTGCCATGGAGCTGCATCTTCTTGAGATGTTTACACAGGGAATAGATCAACAACAGAAAAGATATCAGAGACACAGTAAAGGGTAGGAAATTTTCTAGTGTGGCAACAGCCATAGCTGAAAGGTATACAGTGTTCCTCAGTTTAGTCTCCCAAGTCCCATTTCTTTCATGTTGTCTTTGCTGCATACTCACATTCATGAGTCCCACCACAAGATGACAAAGCAGAAAGACCAAAGTCCCCAACAATATGACCAGAATTACATTCGTAACATTCCTTTTTAAATTAAGAAAAATACAGTTAGAAAAATTGGCAATCTTGAGCAAATAAAATATGCTGAGGCTAGTAGCAAGCCAGATGCTAAAATGGTTTGCCAATATCCAGGCACTATGAATAATAATTCTTACTTTTGTATTAGAGAAATCTGGGTCAAACACACTTATATACCAGTGCATTAATATTACGCAGAGCAAACCAATTCTGGAGACCGCCAGAGCAGTGAGAATTCGATCAGCAGAGGAGATCTTTCGTTTCTTGACCCAATCAATGAAGTTCACCAGTGCTATAAAGCCATTGGCAAAATTTCCAAGAAAAAATTGTATCATTACTGGGGTGGAAAAAATGATCGGTAGTAAACTTATCATTACTGAGCAAAACAGGCAAATTAAATAAAAGAAAGAAAGAAATGAAAAGCTAATATAACTAGTTCTGATTCGTTTTTTTATCTTGACCTTAAGTTCAATATATATCAGATTTCTGAATGTACACTAACATACTTTTTTCTTTTAAATTCCATGACTAAATTCAACTAGGAAAGCACCACAGTATGCTAATGATTAACATCTCTATGGAAAACACTGTTACTGCGGATATAGCTTAGATGAACTCCTGTCCATGGCCTGCTCATCATGAGAACACTTGTAACTGATTTCAAAAGAGAGCTAAATTTTTATTTACAAGCATGCAAATGAAAAGACATATCCTCTTTCCACGTTTTGCAGTTTTTCCTTTTTAAATCTCTCCAAGACTTGTGTTCAGCAACCTTAGTTGTTAGGAAAATTTTATAAGCCAATATGTAGACTATACAATGAATGTCTGAATTTTTATATGAATCATGATCATAAGTAAGCTCATCTCCACTATAGATCATTTTTAAGCTCAATGTACATAGAAAGAATCCAAACATTTCCTATCAGAAGCATTCAAAAGCACATTATCCAAGATTTATGAATAAACAATAAACACAGAGTGTTTACTGCAGCACTATTCACAATAACCAATATAGAGAATCTAGCTAAATGTCCATCAACAAATAAATGGATAAAGAAAATGTGGTATGTATACACAATTGAATACTAGCCAGTCATATTAAAGAATGAAATTCTGTCATTTGCAGTAATATTGATGAGTCTAGACCACTTTATGTTAAATGAAATAAGCCAGACACAGCAAGATAAATAGCATATGTTCCCTCATATCTGTGAGCTAAATAAAGTTGACATCTGAAACAAAAAGTAGTGTAGTGATTTTTTTTTCTTTTTTGTTGGAGAGGTTTTTGCTATAGGGTGCATGCACTCACCAGACAGACAGAGAGAGACAGAGAGACAGAACACGAGAAATCACCCCCCAGGGGGGATGGTCACGCCACAATCCTTTCTCCTCCATTCTCCTCTCAGGATCTTGGGCACGCACGCACACACGCCCGGCGTGAGTTTAAGCCACCGGGTCCGGGACTCAAACCACGGTCAACTACGTGGGAGTCCAGCGACATAGCCATTACGCTAACTGCTGGTCCCAGTATAGTGTAGTGATTTTTTAGAAGCTGAGAAGGGGATGGTAGAGGGGAGGATTAGAGAGATTGGCTTGTGAATACAAATTACAGCTCAATAAGAGGTTAAATTGTAGTGTGTAATTACACTGTAGAGTAACTATATATGGCAATTATGTATTATATATTTCAAAATAGCTAGGGGAAAGATTGTGAGTGTTCCCAAAATGAAAAAAGAATAAATGTTTCAGATAAAGGACAATGATGGGGCCGGCAGGTAACATGGTAGTTAGGGTGCTGGACTACCACATGGCTGACCACAGTTCAAGTCCTGGACCTAGTGGCTAGCTTTCTCACTTATCCTCTCTCTCTCCCCTCTCTTTCTTGTCAAATTAAATAATAATAATAATAAATAAAATTAAATGAATAATTATTTTAAAGGATATTAATTGCTCTGATTTGATTATACATAACGAGCATATATTAAAGCATCACACTGTATCAATGAATATATACAATTATTATTATCAATTAAATAGAGCAACAATAAAAAACATGGAAAAAAAAATTCCAGAGTTTCTTGAGAACCTCAGAAAAGCCAATAATTCTTAAAATCTGGTTTCTGCTATTTGGCATTTATGGATAATTTTATTCTTTACAAACTCAAACACACATACACACACACACATATACTCATGGATAGAAGAATTATTGTCACTTAATTTCCAAATTGTAAAATGGTTTTCAAGTAGGTCATCAGGTTAAACAGCCATTTTTTTCCCCACTTAGGCTTTTTTAGCCCATTTAAATATTAATCAAATGTGTCTCTCATGCTTAATCCTTTAAAGACTTTCAAAAGTTACATTTATGAGTCTATTTAATATTTAAATACTAGTTACCTAATTTAAATACTCAGAAATAATGTAATATAGTTGGTCCCACACCTTGTGACATACAATGCTCTCCATCCACTGGCAGGTACATCCCTTCCTCTTCCTTCTGAGCTCAGTCATGTAACTGGTCTTGATAAACATGAAATTAGTAGACTCTACAGAGATTTGAAATGGCTTCTGTGTTGGGGATTGCCAAGTCTAGATGTTCTACATTCACCATGAGGACATGCCTAGGTTTGTCCTCTGGTCACAGGAGGAGAATGAGACTCAGAGTCCAGCTGTCTAGCCCCCTCCAACCTAAATCAGCCAAACTCTAACCAGCTCTGACATGCAGAAGTTAGCCTGTCTCCAGGCACCATTGCCATTCACTAAGGCCAGCTTAGAAATACTATATCTGGGGCCAGCAAGTGTCATAGTTGTTAAGGCACTGGACTTCCCTATGGCTTACTGTGGTTCTCGTCCCTGACACAGCAACTGAAGATTCACACCGGGCATATATGCATGCATGCCCAAAATCCCACAGGAGAATGGAGGAAAGGGGACTGTGCCATGGACATCCCCCTTGAAGAATGGTTTCTCACTTTCTTTCTTCTGTCTCTCTGGCAAACACATGTGCCCCACCATAAAAATCTCTTAAAAAAAAAAAAGGAAAAAAAGACTAAATCCAGACATGTGAAGCATGTGTGTGTGTGTGTGTGTGTGTGTGTGTGTGATGTGTCATTTAAGTTTTAGAGTAGTGTCTTTTACCAAAAAAAGCTTTATGATATACTTGTTATTAAAATGGGAGAAAAGCACTTTTTAGAAAACTTATCATGTCTGAAGATCAGAAGGAAAACAGCAGGCTTAATAACACAGATAATAGGCCTCTGCCCATACCACACACTTAACGGCCATCTAACGGCCAGGCCACCCATGCCACAAGAGCTTCTATCTTGTGATTCACTTCCTGTCACAGCCCCCCACCTCCTCGGGCCATACTGAGACCAGAAAGCTTGGGATAAATCAGAGGAACATGGCCACCGACAGGGAAGGACCAACCGCCATCAGTTTTATCACCTGTAAGTGCTTGGGCCATGGCCTCTGCCTGCGAGAAGCCTCACAAAGAGGAATCAGGCAGGACTGACGGGGTAAGAGGACGTAGGCAGAAGGAGAGAGTAGCCAAATGCCTGAAGTTGGTGAAGCTCTGCAGGACTTTCTCCTCCCAATTTCCTTTCTAGAGGAGAGAACCTCTCCTCTACAGAGATCCTCTACTCTGAAACTCTGAACTACAGATTATCACCACATAATCTAGCACTCTAACCACCCCCAAAAATACAAGGAACCTGTTACAGAGCTAAGACACATCATACGGAAATGCAAGAGCAAACAGTTTTCATATCGGACCTATACCCAAATCCTACCTCCACTCCAAAAGAGACTAAAGAATTTGGGCACTACCCACTGTCTGGCAGGCAGAGTAGGCCTGAACTCTCCCTCCTACAAGACTCAAGTCCAGGGGAATGGTTACCTGCTTCAAGTGACGCCATCCACAATACAGCTCTTCTGGATCTTCCTGAGCTGTCTCTTGTATAGGATACACAAACTCTGCTCTGATCTGGAAGACACACCTGATAACTAGCTCCTTATGAACAGCTTTACCAAGAACACCTGGAACTTAGAACTGTCCCCTCCTTCCCCCTCCCCCATTCTGTGAAACCTATTCCAAAAAAGGAAGAAGTAAACACTTCACTAATTTTCTAAAAATCAACAAAAAAGACACAAAAAATATGAGAAAACAAAGAAATATGTCTCTTCCCCCCAAAGAAAAAAACCAATAACCTCTTACTAAAAATTGGGGGTGGGGGGAAGAAATTACAGAAAAGCCAGAAAACATAATTAAGAATACATGGTGTAATAATCTTTATGAGATGCAAGTGAAAATGGACAATTAATTTCAGGAAATGAGAAAATCATTCCATGACATGAAGGAAGAATTTCATCAAGAGATTGACAACCTCTAAAAGAATCAAACAAGGGGCTAGCAGGTGGCATCATGGCTAAGGAGCTGGACTTCCATGTGGTCAACCACAGTTTTAGTCCCAAACCTGATAACTTGCTTTCTCACTCTCCCTTTCTCTCTCTTCCTTTCTTTCTTTGGTCAAATTAAAACTAATTATAATAAATGAAATTAAATAAACAATTTTTAAAAATCAAACAGAACTTCTGAAAGAAGAATACAATAGAGGAAATCAAAATCTGCCTTGAAGGCATTAACAGCAGATTGGAACACAAAAAAGAAGGAACCTCTGACCTTAGAAACAAATCTCCTTCACACAAAAAAAAAGAAAGAAAGAAAGAAAGAAAAAAGAAATCTCCCAATTTACTCCAAGCCACCAACAAGAATTAAAAAAAAATCACCAGAGAAAGAGAAAGACCAACATATGGGAAATTCTAGACACTATTAAGCTGCTGAATATCTGCATAAAAGTATTTCAGAGATGAAGGCATAAAACATCTTTTTAATGAAATACCAACTGAAAACTTTTCAAATTACTTAAGAAATTAAGACTACAGTAAAGATTTATTAAAAACCAGTGATAACAAACATAAAGCTCTTCATAATCTGTGGGACACAAGAAAACAGTCTAAGGGACACTTATAGCAATTAGTACCTACAAGAAAAAATAGAAAGGTGACAAATACATAACCTAATGACCAATCTCAAAAAGTCAAAAAACAACAAAAAAGAAAAAGAAAAAAAAAAAAGAAATAAAGATTAGACCTGAAGTAAATGAAATAAAGAATAAAAATACCAAAAAGTCAACAAAAGAAAAATCTATTTTTTGAAAAGATAAATAAAATTGACAAACCACTACACACACACACACACACACACACACACACAGAAATAAGATGATCAAAATCAGTAATAACACTCATAATAGTACAACAGATATATATCAAAAGTACAAAAATTCTTGAAAGAATACTACAGAAGATTGCA